TCCTTCCTTCCCTCCCTCCCTCTTAATTTTTCCTTCCTTCCTTCTCCTCTCCTTTCCTTCCTTCCTCCCTCCCTCTTATTTTTTCCTTCCACCCTTCCTTCCACCCTTTTTCCTTCCTTCCTTCCTTCCATCCACACCTCATCTACTCCCTTCCTTCCTCTTTCTTTCCTTCCTTCCCTCTTAGTTTCTCCTTCGTTTCCTTCCTTCCTCTCTTTCTTTCCTTCCCTCACTTAGTTTTTCCTTCCTTCCTTCTCCTCTCCTTTCCTTCCTTCCCTCCCTCCCTCTCTTAATTTTTCCTTCCTCCCTTCCTTTCACCCTTTTCCCTTCCTTCCTTCCTTCCTCCCTCCCTTTCCTTCCTTCCCTCGCTCTTAATTTTTCCTTCCTTGCTTCCTTCCACCCTTTTCCCTCCCTCCCCCTTAATTTTTCCTTCCTTTTCCTTCCTTCCTTCCTTCCTCCCTCCTAATTTTTCCTTCCTTCTCCCCCTCCCTCTTAATTTTTCCTTCCTCCCTTCCTTCCACCCTTTTTCATTCCTTCCTTCCTTCCTTCCTCCCTCCCTCCCTCCCTTCTTCCTTTCCTTCCCTCCCTCCCAATTTTTCCTTCCTTCCTTCCTTCCACCCTTTTCCCTCCCTCCCTCCCTCCCAGAACTCCCAGAATTCCCCAGCTGCCATGCTTTAAGGGTCATGAACTTCAACTCCCAGAATCCCCCCGCCACCCCCCAGCCAGCTTTCAGAACACCAGCTTTGCAAACCTGCCCAGGTGGCTGAGGGCTGAATTGCGCCCTGTGGCCTCTCCTGCACGGCGAATCCATTTAGCTGTTTAGTAAATTTTGCAAGCTTGCTGGCTGGGGAATTCTGGGAGGGGGAGTCCCCCCCCTCAAGCCTTACTCCTTGGGAGGCCTCCCCCTGCACGCTAGGAATTTGGGGAGGGGAGACCACGGTACTAACCTCCCTTTGGCCTCTTCCTTTTCCCCGCAGCTCAGCTTTCCCAATGCCACCCTCGCCCCTCGAAGAGCGGATCGGGGTGCTGCAGAGGCCCAAGACTTTAGCCCTACGCCTCACCCACACCTTCGTCACCCACGGCAGTGGCGGGGAGAAGCCCCTCTCGCCCTCCGCCGTGGGCCAGGACCCCTGCGAAAGCCTCCGCCGGAGCAGCATCCTTCTCCCCGGCCATTCTCACACCCTTGACCTCAAGCCTCAGGGACGAGGGCCCGAGCGTGGCTCAGCCTGGCCGCCGGCGGACGCTAAGCAGGGCGAGAGGAAAGCCCCGCTGACGCCGCAGCTGAAGGCGCTGCTGACTGAGGCCAGACTCAAGAAGCAGGGGGGCCTCAAGGAGAACGCCGACCCTTCGGGGGATGCTACCCCCAGCTCCACGCTCTCCAGCCCCGCCACCACCATGCACCCTTTGAAATGCGGCTGCTGGGGCTGCTGGCGGCTGATGCGCTGCGAAGACGCTGGCGCCAAGTCCGGACTGCGCTCCCTGGGCTGCTTCTCCAGCCGGTCCAGCCTGCGCTCCCTGGGCTGCCCGGCCTGCAGTCCGCAGGCCGTGAAGAAGCTGGGGTGCTTCTGTGGCCCCGTGGCTTTGCGCTCCCTGGCCTGCCTGGCGTGCAACCTCTCGGTCAAGTCGGTCAGCTCCTCCTCCAGCTTCTGCAGCAGTGACCCCATCGTGGCCTACGACCCCCGGGTGGGGTCCTCGCCGGCGCCCAGCTGCTACGGCGGGGACGGAGAAGAGGAGGAGGAGGAGGAGGAAGAAGGGGACAACTACACCAGCCACAACGTCTGGCCCAACGAGCTGGACAAGAAGATAAACACGACGACGCCGTGGGTCCAGCCGCAATCCTCTCCCTTGATCCTGGACTGCCGCAACCTGGTGGAGTTCACCAAGGCTCAGCTGCAGGGAGCCATGCGCTTCGGAGT